GAGAAGAGAAGAGAAGAGAAGAGAAGAGAAGAGAAGAGAAGAGAAGAAAAGAAAGAAAAGAAAAGAAAAGAAAAGGATACGTGGACTTCGTGGATGAACCCTGAAAGCGCCACGCTAAGAGAAAGGAGATAGGAGAGAGAGAAGGTCCGTCAGCGGCGGCCGGGACTGGCCAGCAGTGTAGCTGTGACAGCTTGTTGGTACAGTGTTTCTTTTTTGGGGTAATGAAATGTTCTGGAATTGATGGTGGTAATTGCACAACTTTTGAAATACTAAAAACTACTGAACTGCATACTTTAAAATGGTGAATTTTGTGTTCTGTGAATTATCGCAATTAAGAGAGAATTTGGGAGATGTGAGGAAAGTAACTGGAGGCTCCTCTGAGTGCCGCCGTCCCAGCCACAGTGACACGCGCCTGTGGGTGAGGAAGGACCGTCCCTGGCTGCCGCTTCCGGGGCCTGGCCAAGATAACCAAGACAGATAAGGAGTCCTTCGGCCAAGCCCCGTTTTAATCCCAGCTTCACACCATGCTGCTCAAGGGCCTTTGCTACCAGGGTTGTTTTAAGTACCCCACAGGTACCCCACAGAAAGGAACCCTGCAAAATGAGGACACCCCACGGCACACGGCGCTTAGCTAGGAGAGTCCGGCCTGCACGGAGATACCCCACGGAAAGGAACCCGCACGGGCTGCTGCTGCTCCAGGACACCTGGCCCGGGGGCTGCCGTCCGCCCTGCCCTGCCAAGTGGAGGATCTGAAAGGAACAAAGACTCTTCACACGGTGGCTGCCACTGAAGCTGAGCTGTCCCCTGACCCTACAGGGAGGCTGCTCAGAGGGACCCGTGCAGACAGATCCCCGGCTGGGCCTTTGCTGCCTGCTGGGGACAGGCGCTACCAGCTAAGGGAGTGGAGACGCTGGAAGGGTTTGGTTCCACACAGTCAGGTCACACTTTAGCGCAGCCGCCCATGCACGCCAGGGACGTCTGTGTGCCTGGTGCCCAGCCCGGCCATGCCCCCTGCCCCGAGGGGTCTCACCCCCGGGCTGGAGGGCACAGCAGACCCACCGTGAGGGTGGTGAAGACCCAGTCCTTGGGGAGGCCCCGGGCTTTCCAGAACGTGGTGTTGATGTATCGGTTGAGGTGCTCCATGCTCCACACCGTGTCCTCCTTCAGCAGCACGTACAGCGGGCTCTTCTTCTGCATGAACTGGGAGCAGATGGCGCTTGGAGACTGGCTCCCAGAGTGTCCAGGGCACCTGCCCTCATGGGGGTCCCCAGGAGAACTTCCCCCTAACCTAGAGGGCCTGTTCCCTGGGGGTTCCCTGAGAGCCTCCCTCAGCCCTACCGTGACCTGCCTGCAAAGACCCTCCCACAAACACCTTCATCTGCTGAGACCCCCCTTCAGCTGTGAAGACCCCACAGATCCTCACAGAAGGCCCCTACCTGGACTCTCCCATGAAGGCCCTTCCCCAGAGACCTCTGCCCACTGGGCCCTTCTGACGGCCTCAGAATCCCCTTGGTTCCCACGCCCACCCAGACCCCATCCTCAGAAAACCCAGCTGCAGCTTGGGAGCCAGGCTGTGCACTGGGGGGTGCAGGGCTCTGAGCCCTTTCCCCAGCTAGCGGGGTCCCTGCCACGCCCTTCTTCTGCTGTGCGGAAACGAGGGAGGTGAGAGGCAGTGCTGACTGCCGGCGGCGGGCAGCCCAGGCTACTTCTAGGCCTGGGCCACCTCCATCTGTAGCCGCACCTCCTCTGCATCCCCTAGCAGTGAGAACCTCCCTCTAATCTCATCCCAAGGCCACAGGGAGGGCCCTCACCTACGGCAGACTCTTACCTGGTTGGTCAGGTGGCCGCTGAGGTCGCTGGAATGTGGGTCGTAGAGGCTGAGGGTGAGGCGGGCATAGCCGTGGCTGAAGAAGATCATGTAGGGTGTGGTGCAGGCGATGAGCAGGTAGGAGCGCACGTCAAACTTCCTCCCGTCCAGCAGCAGCGGGTTCTGGATATACCTGGGGGCACCACATCGGGGCTGCTGGGCTGAGCCATGGGGCTGGCCTGGCCTGCGTCCCCTCACACCCCACCCCAGGCCTGGGCCATTTCCTCAGCACCCTGCCTCTGACCCAGGTGTGACCTCCAGGGAAAAGGGGCACTTCTGGGCCAGAATATGTCAGAATTGGGAGGAAGGGCCTGGCACCCTGATCGGTGCCCCAGGGCATAACCGCAGTAGGAGCCTGGAGGGCTGCCTGGAGGAGGAGGAGGGCATGAAGTGGCTTTGGAGAGGAAGGGAAGGAGCATGCCAGGCGGGCGGCGGAAGGGTCCCAGGCGGTGTGTAGGGGGGCGCGCTAGGCAGAAGGGGTGCACCAGGTGGAGAGAGGGAGCACCCCAGGTGGAGGAACGTGAAGGAGGAGCCGATGGAAGCTGGGGACAGTGGACAGCAGCTGTGGCCAGAGCGAAGCTCTACAAGGGCCAGGGGTGAGGTCGGCAGGTCTAAACCTTGAGCCTCGTGCAGCTACAGGGCTTTCTGGAGGAAGCGTCCCACCCGGGAAGGAGTGGTCAGCTTGGCCATAGGCCTGCAGGCTGCAGCTGGCTGACTGGGCTGGGGAGTAGGGGGGCTGGCAGCCGGGAGGCCACCCAGGCCAGGTCACCTGCAGGACAGAGGGGGCCCCAACTGAAGGACAAACTGACCAACCCCTCAGTCCTGGATCCTGTGTCTGTGACCCCGGCCTGGTGTGACCCCTCCCCTCTGCTGACTACACGGGGCCCAGCTGTGGTCTGCACAGGGGCTGGTGGTGCGGCTGCCTTCCACGGCCAAGGGCTCCTTGGCGGCCCTGCTGACCGCACCAGTAGGGCCCGGGCCAGCCTGCCTAGACCCTCCCCCCTCTGGGCACCTGCGGCCGCACCTCTGCACCACCCGCGCCTGAGGCCCCCGGAACGGCGACTTATGGTGGATGGGGTCGTCCTCCACGCTCCGGGTCTTGGCCTGCAGGGCGGCAACTTCCTCCTGGCTCCGGAGCAGGAAGATGCCTTTGCCCTGGTTGGAGGCTGTGGGCTTGCAGATCCATATCTGGGTTTCTGCAGAGCAGGTCGCCTGAGCCCTGGCCCCGCCCACCACCAGCCCCGCCCCCAGCCCGACCACGCCCCTCCCAGTCCTCCTAAGGCGCGGCCAGGACCCTCTTCTCCCGGCTGCGACCCTAGGCCCGGCGACTCCAACCCTGGCCCTGCGCTAACCACACGCCTGGCGCTAACACCCACGCCCACCAGGACCAAGCTCCAGCCCTGGCCCCAGTGCCCTCATACCCCAACCTCCACGAGGGCCAGATCCTCCCCTTTCCAACGCCTCAGCCCCCACCCGGACCAGGCCCAGCCCTGGCCCCTTCCTGACCGCCTCCTCTCGTTCCAGTCCCACGCAGCCCCCCCAGCCCCAGCCCTGCCCTCACCAGCCGCCACCGGCTGCCACCCTAGGGCCCAAGTGACTCAACCCTGGCCCTGCGCTAACCACAACGCCTGGCGCTAACACCCACGCCCACCAGACCAAGCTCCAGCCCCGGCCCCAGTGCCCTCATACGCAACCTCCACGAGGGCCAGATCCTCCCCTTTCCAACGCCTCAGCCCCCACCCGGACCAGGCCCAGCCCTGGCCCCTTCCTGACCACCTCCTCTCGTTCCAGTCCCACGCAGCCCCCCCAGCCCCAGCCCTGCCCTCACCAGCCGCCACCTTGGTCCTGACCCTGCCAGCCCCACGCAGCCCCCCAGCCCCAGCCTCCCTCACCTGCCACCTTGGTCCTGACCCTGCCAGCCCCACGCAGCCCCCCAGCCCCAGCCTCCCTCACTAGCCGCCACCTTGGTCTGACCCCTGCCAGCCCCACGCAGCCCCCCCCAGCCCCAGCCCTCCTCACCAGCGCCACCTTGGTCCTGGACCCTGCCAACCCCACGCAGCCCCCCAGCCCCCAGCCTCTGCCCTCACCAGCCGCCACCTTGGTCCTGACCCTGTCTCCCCAGGCCAGCCTGGTGTCCCACTCGCTCCAGCCCCACGCAGCCCCCCAGCCTCAGCCCTGCCCCTCACCAGCCGCCACCTTGGTCCTGGACCCTGCCAGCCCCAGCAGCCCCCCCAGCCCCAGCCCTGCCCTCACCAGCCGCCACCTTGGTCCTGACCCTGTCTCCCCAGGCCAGCCTGGTGTCCCACCAGCAGCCTCTCACCATCAAACAGCGTGAAAAAAGCCTCTCTCTCGTGCTTGAGGTCCAGGCGGTAGGTCTCTGGGAAAAACTCCTCCATTCTCAGGACCCTGCAGGGCAGGGAGGCAGGAGGATAAGCTGCTGTCCCTTCGCCCCAGGATGGTGGGCGGTTTGAGGCCCAGTCTGTGGCCCGGCGGGAGGGAGCGAAGGCACTGGCACCTGGCGTCCGTGGCCGTTCTCCTTGTGGGGACTTTGCGTTTCCTGCGCCTTTGCAGGCCCCCCCACGGGCTGTGCTGCTGGCCGCGTCCTTCCGGCTGCCGACCCCCACCTGGGACCCTCCCGCTGGCTGCTTTTTCTCTCATGGTTGCCCTCCCGGCTGGCACCATCTCAGTCATTTATGAGACACCAGCTCGTGGCAGCGTCCTCACGGCTGGGATGGGCAGAGCGCGCGGCCTGAGCCCCGGCCATGCATTCACCGGATGGTCAGCGTGGATCTCTGCCCGGCCAGGCTGAACCTCTGACTCTAGCTCGTGGTTTTCCTTTGTGTGGGACCCCCTCCCCGCTTTCTCCTTTTCAGACTACACCAGGTTTAGGTCTGGACTTCGGTCTGAAGGGCCCCTCCCAGCTGGGCTAAGTGAGTCTACCTCTGTGGCCTGAGGTGTCCTGGGCTTGTCCACGGGAGGTCCTCTAGGGTGGGTGCCGCTGCGTCCTTTCCCAGCCTGCAGCCCAGGGGACAGAGGGCCTGGGCTGAGGGGCCAGCCCATGGTGCTTGGAGTGGGTGAGGACTGGGGGATGGGGCACGGGTGGTGAGTGGGTGGACACGTGAGGGTTTTTTGTGTTTTTTTTTTTTTTATTGAGACTGAGTCTGCCTCTGTTGCCCAGGCTGGAGTGCAGTGGTGCAGTGGCCGGATCTCAGCTCACTGCAGGCTCCGCATCCCGGGTTCACACCATTCTCCTGCCTCAGCCTCCGGAGTAGCTGGGACTATAGGTGCTGCCACCATGCCCAGCTAATTTTATTTGTATTTTTAGTAGAGACAGGGTTTCACCGTGTTAGCCAGGATGGTCTTGATATCCTGACCTCGTGATCCACCTGCCTCGGCCTCCCACAGTGCTGGGATTACAGGTGTGAGCCACCGCACCCGGCCAGACATGTGAGTTTTGATGGAAGGAGGTGACTGGGTGGACCGTGGTGCCTAGGGGAAACAGCCGTGTTGCTCTAGGCTGGAAGTGGATGCTGGACATGGTGTAAGGCTGGCGTCATGGGTAACCGGGGGCGGGGGGTGCAGATGGAGGCAGCTGTGGTTGGCTGGGCGGGTGCTTGGTGCAAAAATGTCTGGGCCAATGAAGTGGGGAGGGATGGATGGGTCCATAGAAGGGCAGTGGGTGGGGCTGGGAGCAGGAGGACGAAGTCGCTGGGATGGATGGCCCAGACTTGGGTGAGCGATGGACGGCCTCACTCAGGGCACCCACGGGTGATGGTGGCACGGTGTGGGATTTTGGATGGACGAGTGTTTGGGGTGAAGGCACATGGACAGGTGGGTTGTAGCTGGGTGGGTCTGTGAGATGGACCGGTGGGTGGTGTCAGGCCCAGTGGGCTGGGGACGTGTGGGATCTTCCCTGTTTGGCCACGGGGAAGAGGGTGGGTTTCTGGGATGGGCGTTTGGCCCTCTAAAGGACAGGTGGAAGGTGGATTCAGGGTGCTGATGGGTGGGAGCTAGGGCCAGCCTGGGAGCCCAGGTGGGCAGGGGCAGGGGCAGGGGCAAGGGCAGGGATGGGACAGGGGCAGGGGCAGGGACAGGGCAAGGGCAGGGACGGGCAGGGGCAGGGGTAGGGGCAAGGGCGGGTGCAGGGGCAAGGGCAGGGACGGGCAGGGGCAGGGGCGGAGGCAGGGCCGGGGCAGGTGCAGGGGTGGGGCAGGGACAGGGCAGGGGCAGGGGTAGGGGCAGGGGCAGGGACGGAGCAGGTGCAGGGGCAGGGGCAGACTCACCTGGCCTGGGTCCCCCCTGGCGCCTTGCTGGCCTTGCTCATGGCCCATGCCCAGCCCCGAAGGGTGCTGAGCAGCCCGATCTTGGTGGTGAGGAGCTTGTTGTTGGGCAGCTGGTACAGCAGCTGCTCTCCTGGAGGTCAGAGGCCAGGGCATGTGTGGAGGGCGTGCAGGACCTCGGTCCCCACTCCTCCAGTCTGCCCTGTGCTCCGGCCCAGGAGGCCCCTGCAGGCTGCCCCCCCGTGGCGCTGGCTCCCGCTACCTTCCCGGAAGCTGCCGTAGCTGTCTCGGCTCTTGACCTCACACCACTTCAGCAGGTAGTCCTCCCGGCGGCTGTCCTGGATGCGCCGCCAGCCCTTGCTTTTGCAGTAGGAGCTGATGCTGCAGGGGGGCCGGGGTGGGGGTGACCTGGGGGCCCGGGTGAGGGGGTGGGGCCGGCGGGCGGCCAGCGGAGGCCGGGCTGGGCCCTGGGAGCAGGCGGTGGGTACTCAGCGGGACAGGGCCGCCCAGGGCCCCTACTCACATCGCAGCCCCGTTGTTGCCTCCGATGTAGAAGAAGGGCCCCGGCCGGGTGCTGTGGGGTGATGGCTTCCCGTCCCCCAGCAGGAGCCCCTCCAGGAGGGCAGCTGGGGGCCCGGTGGCATCAGGGTCATCCGAGTCTGCAGGCGGGTGGCTGGTCAGGAGCCCAGGGGTTCTGGGCGTGGCGGAGGCTCTTCCTGCCCCCTCCAGGTCCGGCCCACCGTGCCCACCTGCGTCGTGGTCTGGCTGGCTTGGCTGACACGGGAGTCCCTCCTCCTGGCTGCTCCCCATTGGCCTCTCATGGGCTGGGCCTGTGAACGGGGTGGGGTCCCGCCCGGGTGGCTACGGGAGCCGTCCGCTCCGCCCGGACATGGCTCAGTCAGTTCACTCCCAGCCCATTTCTCCAAGACCCTGGACAACCCCCCTGGCCCATTTGGGGCTCAAGTTCAGCCCAAGCTCTGACCCAACCAGGCGGCCTGGGGACTGCTTACACCTGGGGAGGGGCCGCGACCACCCTCCAGGGCCAGCCTTCCTGCCGGGGTGGGGAGCTCGGAGCAGGGGGCAGGGAGGTCGCCCCCCCACCCTCCTCACCAACAGGGCAGTGGCCTGGTGCAGGGCAGGGGCCAGGCTGTGAGGCCAGTGCTGGGTGCAGATGTGACACAGGGATGGTCCCAGGAGGGCAGGGGTCACAATGTCCATGATGATGTCACAGGTGACCCAAGGGGCCATTGTCAGGCAGGGGACATGAGGGGCTGCTCTTCTGGGAACAGGCAATGCTGCCCAGCGGCTGCCCATGGGAGTGGTGCCAGCCAGGCAGAACCCTGGGCCGCGGAGCGTGCATCTCCCCTCGGTGCCTGTAGTGCCCGGCGCCCACAGCTGGGCCTTTTCTCGGAGCAGCAGGGCGTGGCCGTGTGTGGGTCCTGCCCCTGCCCCGTAAGACCGACTGACTTCCTTGGGGATGGAAGTCCGTCCCAGGGAGGCTTTGGCTTTGGAGAGGAAGGAGGCCACTCAGGGCTGCTCTATTCACCTGGGACTCGAGCCCGAGGCCGCCGCGGGATCCTTGGTCTCTTGCCCCTCTTGGAGCCAGCTTGGGTCCGAGTGGGCAGTGCCCGGCGATGGACGAACCGGGTGCAGCTGTGGGCCATTGGCCGGGGGGCGCGAGGCCGAGGGCCCTGCAGGGAAGATGCTGCTTTGACCTTCCTGTGGGAACTTCGGGCAGCCCGAGGCCCCAGCACTTGGATGGAGCAAGCAGTCAGGCCCACCCTGCCCAGGAAAGGGCGCCTCCCAGGGCCGTGGACTTGAGCCTCTGTAGGTGGCTGGCTCCTGCCTCCGTGGCAGCCGTGGGGCTTGGCGCCGTGGGGGGCCGAGGCTGTCTCTGCACCCTGTCTCTGCCGGGCGAGTCCTCCCCGGCCGGAGCTGCTCCTCGGGCGTGGCCGAGCTCGGCCTGGGTGCCAGCTGGAAGGAAGGACAGCATCAGGCCTGCCGGGTGAGGCGCCTGCCTGAAGAGTGGAGGGTGGGAGGACTCCCTGGCCCGAGCAGGGGTCTCCTCTGTCTCCGCTGCTGATCCCAGAGCCCAGCTGTGGGCTGTGTGCAGCCACCTGGTACCTGCCATCCGGGTTCCTCTGCGGCCGCCTCCGGGCGCCAGGCCCGACCCCCAGGACACTGTCCCCAGCACCTTCCTGTGTTGCGACTCAAGAACATCTCAGGAATTTTCAGCCAGTTCCTTGACAGATCCTGCTACCACTGTCTCCAGCAAACAAAGCCATCTTGGGGCTGCTTGGGAGGTGAGGCCTTTTTTTTTTTTTTTTTTTTGAGACGGAGTCTCGCTTTGTCTCCCAGGCTGCAGTGCAATGGCGCGATCTTGGCTCACTGCAACCTCTTCCTCCCAGGTTCAAGCGATTCTCCTGCCTCAGCCTCCCGGGTTGCTGGGACTATAGGCACCTGCCACCACGCCTGGCTAACTTTTTGTAATTTTAGTACAGACAGGGTTTCTCCATGTTGGTCAGGCTGGTCCCAAACTCCTGACCTCAGATGATCCGCCCGCCTCGGCCTCCAAAAGTGCTGGGACTACAGTTGTGAGCCACCTCGAGTGGCTTAGGTGAGGACTTTCAAGGGTTTGAAGGAACTTGCCCAGGAGACAGGGGAGCACACAGCAGTGGAGGCTCTGAGGCTAGAGAAGGCTGGAGCAGGCCTGAGGCTCCAGGCTGGGGGCAGAGCTCTCCAAAGGCAGCCCCTGCAGCTGACCTGACCTGCGGCATCGCTCTCGGCCGCACGAGGCCTTTGTGTCTGCCCCTCCCTGCCCCACCTGAGTGACAGGAGGGAAGGAGACAACGAGGAAGCCCACGGGCAGGGGAAGGTGGGTAAACCGAGGCAGCCGATCACACGATGACCCAGCTGGGTGGGGCCACTGGGGCCTGTCCTGGGGGAGGAGCAGAACACAGGCTGGGCCCCACACCTGTGGCCGGGAGAGCCTCACGTCCTCTTCCTAGGGTGGGCTGGGCAAGAATGGAAGAAGTTGGGAGCCCTGAGACCCCTCCCCACTCAGAACAGGAGGACTTTTGGAGGAGGCTGGACCCTGCGCTGACATGGAACAGGCACGTGCGTACGATACTCTGCCTTCAATGGGAGACCTCAGCTCCTTCTCATAGGTTCTCAGCACCCAGGAGTCCTGCTGGGGAAAGGGATCCTCTAAAGTTCTGACTCACAACCAAAGGGGCTGCCCAGTCCCAACAGGCATCATCAGAGGGACTCCCAGGTGTGAACAAGAATGACAGGTCTGCACACGCACACACACACGCACAGACACGTCTACACACACGTCTACACAGACACACCTACAGACAGACATACCTAGACACAGACAGGTCTACACACGCATGCACAGACACAGACACGTCTATACAGACACACCTACACACAGACACATGCACACACACCTACACATAGACACACAGGTCTACACACAGACACATGCACAGACACACACACCTACACACACACACACCTGCACACATGCACACACGCACAGACATGTCTACACAGACACCTACACACACACACACCCCTACACACAGACGCACAGACATACACACCTACACACACACAGGTAGTCCTGGGGAAAAGGATCCCCAGTTCACAACCAAAGGGGCTGCCCATCCCAACAGGCATCATCAGAGGGTGCAGCCAAGAATTACAGGCCTGTACACGCACACACACACGCATTGCAGACACCCACACACGCTTGCACAGACACACCTACAGATAGACATAATTTCTAGACACAGACAGGTTCACACGATGCACAGACACAGGGACACAGCCCATACAGACACAATCACACAGACACATGCACACACACCTCCACACATAGACACACACAGGTCTACACACAGACACATGCACAGACACACACACCTACACACACACACACCTGCACACATGCACACACGCACAGACATGTCTACACAGACACCTACACACACACACACCCCCTACTCTGTTGCATATAACACTTCCACACACACAGGTCTACACATGCACACATGCACAGACACGTCTACACAGACACACCTACACACAGACACAGACATGTCTACACACACATGCACAGATGCACACACACCTACACACACATGCACAGACATGTCTACACACACACCTACACACAGACACACCTGCACACAGACGCACAGACATATACACCTACACACACACACAGGCTCACACGCACACACGTCTACACAGACACACCTACACACAGACACACACACAGACATGTCTACACACACACCTACACACAGACAATGCAATGTACCTACACACAGACACGTCTACACACACATGCACAGACACACCTACACACAGACACAGACATGTCTACACACATGCACAGATGCACACACACCTACACACACATGCACAGACACACCTACACACAGACACACAGACCCATCTACACATGCGCACACGCACACCCACACACAGACACACGTCTACCCACACATGCACACACAGGCACCCACACACACGCTGACACACACACAGACACACAGACGCACAGACACACACAGAGGAAGAGGAAAGGGGAGAAACGGAAACAAGCCCACCTGGAGAAGGCTGGGGTGGGGAGACAGGACCCCTCAGAGAGCTGCATGCTTTTAAAGCAAAGGCATAGAGAATACAAAAGAGCCGATGGGAATTAAAAATGCAACACCAGGGTTGGGATTTAAGTCAAGGAAATTGCCCAGAAGGGAACCCTGGGGTTGGGGCTGTGGGTGTGAAGCCGAGGTGCTGCACAGCAGGGTCACCGTGGAGCCCCAGGCGAGAGGGGAGGCCCCAGGAGACACAGGCCCAGAGCCGGAGGAAGGAGGCAGTGGTCCTGGCCAGCCCTGGCTGCCCACCAAGGCCACTAGCAGCCCTCCAGCCTTCCTGGGGACACACAGGGCTGGATCCAGCCCAGGAGGCTCTCAGCTGGGAATTCCAGGAATTCCATACCTGGCCTACCATGTGTGGAGGTGGGAAAAGGTGGGGAGACGTCCCTCCAGGAAGCCTGGAAGAGTCTCACAGGAGTGAAGTGTCTGGGAAAAGATGCAGCAGCTGGGAGCTTGCAGCTGACCTGATGACTGTGTGCCCCAGCCTCTCCGCCCTCCCCTCTCCGCCCGCACAGCAGCCTCCCCTCTCCGCCCGCACAGCTGGGAGCAACAGCCTCGCAGGTTTGCTGTGAAGGTGGAGTTTCCACACGTAATGTGAGGACAGCACCTGTCACACGCCGCGTGGTCCGCAGGGCTGTGGCGATGATTGTGGGGTGAGGGGAGGCAGAGCTCAGGGACAGCTCAGGATAGGCGGGAACACAAGCACATGTGAAAAGCAAGGCGATCGCCAACTCTGAGGAAAACAGAGGGTGCCACCCGGGGAGGCCGGGCAGCTCTGCCCCGAACATCATTTGTGGTGGGATGATACGGACAGGGCAGCGTGTGGAGGACAAGCCCCTTTCACTGACCGTGGGGAATTTCTGCCCTGGAAGCTCCGAAAGCAGCAGTGGCAGGTGCTGTTTGGAAATGGCCAGGCAGTTGGAAAGCGGAAGCACAGCACCCAGCGCCCCCCCCAGGAAACTGCCTCCGTGTCTCAGCAGCAGCTGGAAGGGGCAGCCAGGTGCTGATTTCATTGTAAGCCTGAGGCCTCGTTTGGGCTTTTCTAATTTTGTGTACTTATTATGTTCACGAATAGCTAAATAAGTTGTGAGCTGTTATTTTTTCTCATTGAAATTAAAGGTCTTTTTTTTTTTTGAGACGGAGTCTCGGTCTGTCACCCAGACAGATACCTACACGCAGACACACCTACAGACACAACACAGACACACAGACATGTCTACACACACACACACACAGACGCCCCCCCACACACAGACGCACAGACACACAGACACACAGACGCACAGACACACAGACACACACACACACACAGACGCTGACACACACACACACGCTGACACACACAGACGCACAGACACACACAGACACGCAGTCACGCAGACACACACAGAGGAAGAGGAAAGGGGAGAAACGGAAACAAGCCCACCTGGAGAAGGCTGGGGTGGGGAGACAGGACCCCTCAGAGAGCCGCATGCTTTTAAAGCAAAGGCATAGAGAATACAAAAGAGCCGGTGGGAATTAAAAATGCAACACCGGCCGGGCGCGGTGGCTCAAGCCTGTAATCCCAGCACTTTGGGAGGCCGAGACGGGTGGATCACGAGGTCAGGAGATCGAGACCATCCTGGCTAACACGGTGAAACCCCATCTCTACTAAAAAAATACAAAAAACTAGCTGGGCGAGGTGGCAGCACCTGTAGTCCCAGCTACTCGGGAGGCTGAGGCAGGAGAATGGCGTAAACCCGGGAGGTGGAGCTTGCAGTGAGCTGAGATCCGGCCACTGCACTCTGGCCTGGGCGACAGAGCGAGACTCCGTCTCCAAAAAAAAAAAAAAAAAAAGGCAACACCAGGGTTGGGATTTAAGTCAAGGAAATTAAGTCAAGGAGTGCAGTGGCGTGATCTCGGCTCGCTGTAACCTCCACCTCCCAGGTTCAAACGATTCTCTTGTCTCAGCCTCCCGAGTATCCAGGATTACAGGCGCCCACCACCACGCCCCGCTAATTTTTTAATTTTTAATAGAGACAGGATTTCTCCATGTTGGCCAGGCTGGTCTCAAACTCCTAACCTCGTGATCCGCCCACCTCGGCCTCCCAAAGTGCTGGGATTTCAGGTGTGAGCCACCACCCCGGCCTGAAATTAAAGGTTTCTTAAGCGGCTGCCTGCTGTGTGTGGTGAAGCTGGGGCCAGAACGCAGGTGGGACGCAGCCTCCCGAGCGTCAGAAGCTGCTGGCTCCACACGCCTGTCCGTCTAGTAAACGCATTTTGGAGTCTCTGACGGACGCGACTCTGAATCTGGAAAGAAAGCGTCTCACTCCGAGATGCTGACCGACGCGTCCTGTATGGCGGTGGGACTCGGGAAGCCGGTGGCGCCCAGGGTGCAGGATGGTCGTGACGTCCCTCGATGGGGACACGGTGTAAAGGGGGCGTGGAAACTCAGCTCACGACCTTATGATAAATTGTAAAATAAGCTTTTTACCTGGTGAGATGAAAAGACCGGCAGGAGACTGCACCCCGGTAGGATGAACAGAGGAGACTTTTAAACCTGAAGAAATCGTCCAAAAAGCGACCACACGTTGGTGTCCTGCCACAAGCTACCCCCAAGAATCCAAGCTTGGCCACCTGGGGCCCCAGGAAGGTACTGACATTGTTTGAAGAACCGGTGCCTTCCGGCCAGAGCCGCTGTCTGGGGATGCACGCCCTGTGGTCTCAAGCAGTCGTCCGTCCAGGACTTGCTCTGGGGAAGCAGACCTGGTCCCAGGCCACAGAGCTCGTCCCAGGGCTGCCCTGCCCTCCCACCCCGCCCGGTACACACACCGTTCCCTGGCCTGGCCTGGGCCTGAGCCTCTCGCATGGTGGCGCTGGGTCTGGGACCCGAGTGTGGCCTCCGCAGAGCAGGCTCAGCCTGGCCCCACCCTGTCCAGTCCCCTCCCCAGCCTCCTTCTCTCCTGGGCAGCCTCCCGAGGGGACCTGCAGGCAGGGCATAGGAGGGCGGGGCCGAGCCCACTGGACCCCGGCAGATGGCCACGGGCGCCCTTACCTGCCCAGCCCACAATGTCCTGGGAGCCTGGGCCAGGAAGCAACAGTGGTGACCTGGCAACCGTCTCCTGGCAACCACCGTGGCAACCGTCTCCTGGCAACCACCACGCTGCTGGAGCCCAGAGGTGAGCAAGGGTTTGCGAGGACAGGGAGGGGCTGCTGAGGGGTGGGGCCAGCCTGGGAAGCAGGGCTGGGGGCTGAGGCTGGAGAAGGGGTCTCATGGGCAGTCACTGCTGGGCCTGAGCCCCGGGGCCTGAGCCCCTCCACCCGGCCCTCCCGGATGGTCCCTGAGCTGTCTCTCAGGCCCCACCCATGCTCCGCACTCCAGGACCTGGCCCAGGCCAGGCTCCCCGTGCACCCTGGCCATGTTTGCCGAATACCCAGCTGCCGATGCCTGAGCATTCTCTGTGCTTCACGCGGTCAGTTCCCTGTTCTCTCTCCACAGACCAGGACGAGGTGCTGCCGTGCCCTCCTCATCCCTGTTCTCCCTCCACAGTCCCGGACGAGGTGCTGCTGTGCCCTCCTCGTCCCTGTTCTCTCTCCACAGTCCAGGACGAGGTGCTGCCGTGCCCTCCTCGTCCCTGTTCTCTCTCCACAGTCCAGGACGAGGTGCTGCCGTGCCCTCCTCGACCCTGTTCTCTCTCCACAGTCCAGGACGAGGTGCTGCTGTGCCCTCCTCTGCAAACAGGAACCGGGGGCTCAGAGAAGTCAGTGCCCCACAGAGGGGGACTCACATCTGTCGGTCCAAACTGCACCATTCTGTAAGCCCTCGCTGTGTCACAGACCTCGGCGAAAGTGAAGCGTTCAGTGGGGGTTTGGGCCGTGAGGGACAGCCCACCCAACCTGACTTGATCACACTTTGCTGGGAAAAACTCCAAGAACATCATGATTACCTTCTCCGGGAACAAGGGCCATCATGAAGCCCTACGGCCCAGGCCCCTCCCAGCCATACCTACAGGCACCCCAGCCCGTAGGCAGCGGTGGGCTCTGGCATCAAGCTGGTCCCCCGCCTGGCAGGTGTTTGCAGTGTACCTGTGTTGCTGTAAAGCTGCCCTTTCTCTATCTGTGTGTGTCTTTGTGTAACCCTCACCTTCTCTGTTTTTTTTTTTTTTTTTTTTTTTTTTTGAGACGGAGTCTTGCTCTGTCGCCCAGGCTGGAGTGCAGTGGCCAGACCTCTGCTCACTGCAAGCTCCGCCTCCCGGGTTTACGCCATTCTCCTGCCTCAGCCTCCTGAGTAGCTGGGACTACAGGCGCCCGCCACCTCGCCCAGCTAGTTTTTTGTATTTTTTAGTAGACACGGGGTTTCACCGTGTTAGCCAGGATGGTCTCGATCTCCTGACCTCGTGATCTGCCCTCCTCGGCCTTCCAAAGTGCTGGGATTACAGACTTGAGCCACCGCGCCCGGCCTGTTTTTTTTAATATACAGAGTCTCGCTCTGTTGCCCAGGCTGGAGTGAAATGGCACGGTCTCAGCTCGCTACAACCTCCGCCTCCCAGGATCAAGTGATTCTCCTGCCTCAGCCTCCTGAGTAGCTGAGATTACAGACACTCACCATAGTGCCCAGCTAGTTTTTTTTTTTTTTTTTTTTTTTGAGACGGAGTCTCGCTCTGTTATCCAGGCTGGTGCAGTGGCGTGATCTCTGTTCACTGCAAGCTCCGCCTCCCGGGTTCACACCATTCTCCTGCCTCAGCCTCTCGAGTAGCTGGGACAACAGGCGCCCACTGCCACGCCCGGCTAATTTTTGTATTTTTATGAGAGACAGGGTTTTTCCATGTTGGTCAGGCTGGTCTTGAACCCCTGACCTCAGGTGATCCACCCACCTCCGCCTCCCAAAGTGTTGGGACTACAGGCGTGAGCCACTGCAGCTGGCCTGCCCTCACAGTCTCTTTAAAACACCGAATGATATCAGGTCTGGGAGTCCAGGCCTGGCAAGACCCCTGACACGGTCTGATCCCCTCTGCCTCAAACGCTGAGCCTCCAGCCACGTGTCCCCCGCCCATCCGTGTCCTTCAGAGCTTTGCTGGGTCACAAGGGTCTCTCTGCTTTGGGTCCCCTTGCAGGGGGCTGGGAGTGCCCCCAATAGACAACCACATCCTAGCCCTGAAACCTCGAATGTGATCTTATTTAGAAGAAGGGGCTTTGCAGGGCATTACGTCAGGATCTCTGGTGTGATAGCCCAGGGTTCCCTGGGCAGGCTCTGAATCAATGGCCACTGCCTGCCTGAGACGGAGGCGGAGAGAGGAGATGCAGACGTGGGGGAGACGCCGTGGGACCGGGGGGCAGAGATGGGCGACACGGCCACAGCCACCGACGCCTGAGCCGGCAGGGGCTGGGGAGGCAGACAGGGTCCTCCCCTGGATCCCCTAGAGGGGTACAGCCCTGCCTGCCCCGTGGCTTTGGAGTTCTGGCCTCCAGATTCGGGCCTGAGCGTCTGTCGTTGTGCCTGCCTGCGTGGGTTTTTCAGCAGCTGGGAGGAGAAGGCACCTTGCGAGAGTGTGATGCCTGCTCTGGAATCACCTCCCCGACGCACACCGGGCTGCAGCCTGGGGGACTCCCTGCCCCCGGCCCTGGAGCCTGAGCTGTGGGGGAAGAAGGGGCCCCATCTGTCCCTGAGGAGCCCCTGGAAGGAAGAGGGAGCTCTCGGAGGTGGGGCCGGGAGGGGGCATCTCCTACCTGTCCTCCCGGTTCTGTCCAGCTGGGAACCGTGTCCTCGCCCCTCCCCGCACTCCCACCTTGTGCCTGGTGCTCGAGCTTTGGGATGGTCCCTCCAGACCCTGGTGCAGAGCAGACCCAGGAGGCCCCTCTGCCCTCTGGGAGCCTCAGGTCAGGCGGCAGGTGGGGCTGGGGCAGGTCCTGGACTGAGTGGCTGGACCTTCAGGGAGTGGGGGCCGCCTGAGGGGGGTGACAGGGCCCTTCAGTGGCTCCTGTGGCTCTCCAGGCTGGGAGCAGCAGATGCAGGTTCGGAAGCTCTGGCTCTGGGAAGGGGCCTATGTGTGTCCCTCCTTCCTGAGGCCAAGGCAGGTGACCCGACGGGAGCTGATGGGGGATGGAAAGGACTCTCCAGAGCTGACCCTTCCGGGAACAGAGCACGGCAGGGCCCCGGCCCCTGGGCTGGGAGGGGAGCCCTGTGTTCGTCTTCGTGGCGCAGCAGCCTTTGGAGGATGTGACCTGGACAAACACCTCGGAGGATGGGTTTCCACATGTGCAGGGGAAAGAGGGGGTGCAGCAGGCAAGTCCCCCAACCCCTGCAGCCTCCCGTCCCTGGGGCCCCGCCCAGGCCCGAGGACTCCCCACTGCCGACAAGCCCTCAGAAGCCCCCAGCCAGGCACTGCCTCGTCCCTCACAGCTTCCCTGAATTCAAACTTGAAAACTCTACCTCTTAGTCCCCAAATCTGGGTGGTGCGGCAGCCACGGATACCTGTAACCCCAGCAAGGTTCCTGTGCAGGGTGGGTGGGCAGTGGGGTCTCGGGCTGTGGGTCCAGGTGGGTGCAGCCCCCAGGGCCAGGCAGAGTGGGGGAGGCCCGGCACCTCCCGGGCAGTGGGTGGGGTCTCCAGGCAGGCCAGGCCCTGCCACTGGAAGGGAGGTGGCCCCTTTACCACCAACCTGTGGCTGTCACTGGGGCCGGTGTGGCTGGACCAGGAAGCCCTCCTCACTGGTCCCTGGCTGCCTCCATCCTATCCCTAGGCCCTGCTCCTGCTGTGATGCTCAGGTGACTCTGGGTCACCTGCTCAGAGAGGCCCCCTAGGGCCACCGGCTGCCCCCTCGGTAGCTTCTTTCAGCACAGGCTGAGGTGTCTCCACTCAGGGGCTCCCCCTTCCCCCAGAACCTCAACCTGAGCTGGCCACAGAAGAGTCAGGGAAGATTCCTGAGCAAAAGAAGGAGGAAGGGAGGAAGGGAGGGAGGAAGGGAGGGAGGAAGGGAGGGAGGGAGGGACGGAGGGAGGGATGGAGGGAGGGAGGAGGAGAGGAAGGAGGAAGGAGGGGGAGAGAGGAGGGGAAGGAGGGAGGGAGAAGAAGGAGGAGGGGGAGGGAAAGAGGAGGGAAGGAAGGGAGGGAGCCTCTCCCAGGAACCTCAAGGGCCTCTGGGGACAGATGCAGTGTCTGGGGCTCTGTCCTCAGCTGGGCCCTTTGCATGGCTGGGGTCCGTGCTTGTGTGGTTAAAATAAGGAGCTGGTCCAAGCATGGGTGTGTGAATTGCAGGCTTTATTACTATACAAAGACTTTTTTCTGTTTTGTTCCCAGTGCTTACGGGGGGTGGGGGGGAGGAGGAGGAGGAAGCGTGCGGGGAGGATCTGGGTATGCCCCGCCAGCCAGCAGGGTCCTTCCTGTCACACCCTGTACAACGCAGCAGGCTCTGTGGAGAGTGAGCCCCACTGCAGTGTGGGGTGCATCTTCATCCAAGGGGTGCTTGGAGGGACTGGCCAGACGGGCACAGCGGCGAGGAGGTGCTGGGATGCGGAAGGTCCCCGAGCTCTGGGCGGCGTTGGACGAGCTCAGGCTCACAGGTGTGGCCCTGCGTGGCCCGAGCTCTCCAGCTTCGTCCAAAGCTTGTGTTACATGCACCTTGCAGTCCAGGGCTCACCTGTGGGGTCTGGTGAGGCGGAGGCCACATTCTGGGGGTGGCACTCCAAGTTCTTCCCCACACACATTGCTCAGGCAGCAGCAGCCTGTGGGGTGGTTTTGGCCAGCCCTGCGGGGACTGCCCCATCTCCCTAGGGAGGAAAGAGGCTCTGGTGATGGCCCCAGCGTGGGGGGCTCAACCTGCAGAGCCCCGCTTGGGGACAGCTCCAGATGGCACCTTGTGAGCCGCCTGGAGTGGAGGGGTCCCCAGTGCAGGGCTGCGAGGCCCCAAGCACCTGCCTTCCCTATCCCATGGCCTTGCAGCTGGGCACTGGCCCCGCCCGCCTCAGCCCCAGAGATGGTCCCTGGAGGGAAATTGTGGTCTGCACCCCACGGCTGGTCCTTGGCTGGCCCCAGGAGGACGAGGCTCAGGGCCGGCCCCAGGAGGACGAGGCTCAGGGCCGGCCCCAGGAACCTCCCAGAGGTCTCTAGGTCCTGCTGCCTGGCTGCTGGGAGGTTGTGATGCTGTCCCTGCCGGGCATATGTGCTCCCTGCCCTGGGCTCAGGCACTTTGGGGGACCCAGCTGCTTCAGTCTCGGCCTCCCCAGGTGGGGAGGGGGCTGAGGGCTGTGGGGTGGGGCCAGGCCCATACCATGGGGCCCACAGCATCTGCCCAGGGACTACAGCTTGAGGTCCCTGGGAGGCTGGGTGGGCGCAGGCCATGGCGGTGGGGGGGGCGGTGCACAACAGCCCCAGACCCCGGCGGCTTCACACTGATGAGCTGCGGGTGGGCACAGGCCATAGTGAAGGGGGCACGAGAGCCCTGGATGAGGCGGCTTCACACTGATGAGCTGCAGGGCAGGCAGCTCTCTCCTCTAACGGCGATCAGGCCGCTGATGGACGGTTTTACCAGACAGTATTAGACAGAGAGCCAGGTCTAACCATGTCTGGTAAGACGCCCATCGGCCGGCGGTGGTGTGGGCAGCCTCCGGGTCCTGGGCTGGTGTCTGCAGGGCCTGTGAAGGGAAGGCCCTGGGGGTGGCTCCCCCCACCTCCTGCAGCTGCCTTGATCCCTCCTGGGTCTGCAGAACGAGCCCCTGACGTGCCTACCTGGCAGCCTCCATCCCAGCACCTGGTCCCAGCCCAGCCCGTCTGTGTGGGGGTATCCGGGAGCCATCTGGTCACCTGGCCCTGTGCTTGGCAAAGGCTCCCTGCAGCCGCTCACTGGCTCCCTGACGCTGGGTCAGGTTAATGAGTTACAGCGAAGGGCAGCCTCTCCCCAGTGGCCGCCCCCTCCCCAGGCTGGGGCCTTGTGTGGGGGTGCAGTCCCAGGCTCCCCGGTTGCAGACCAAAAGGATTAAACAACAGGTAATCCTGGCCTGGTGGGTTTTGGACAAAGTTTCCGTTCTTGTTGACCGGGGGAAGGAATGAGACCCCTTGCCTCGCACCAGGACAGCACGGAGCGTCCCCGCTCCCCCGCGTGGTGGGGCTCAGGAATCTGAACCCACCCTGTCCTTTCCGCACCCCCAGCAGACCCTCCATGGAGCCTGGACCGCCTGAGGGAGGCCACTGTTCCTCTTCCCTCTCCAGCCCTGGCATCCTGGCCCTATGGCCTTTCCTGGAGCCAGGTCACCCCAAAACCCAGCCTGGGAGGTTGGGGGGTGAGGCACAGGGGCTCCGGGAGGGGGAACAGGAAGCCCTCCAGGTGACCTGTGGAGGCACCGAGGGGTCCTCAAGGTGTCAGACCCAGCCTGGGTGTGAGTGACCTGGGGGCACCCCCGGCAGAGGCCAGCCCTTCCCCTGGGGGCTGGGCTTTGGAGCTGACACAGGCCCTCTGCCGCCCCGCTCAGCCCTCCGCCCTCACCCATCTGCCGCCCCGCTCAGCCCTCCGCCCTCACCCATCTGCTGGCCCCGCTCAGCCCCCGGCCCCAGCCCATCTCTGGAGTAGGAGCTCCGGACGTGCCTCGGTGGGGTCCCCGGCGAGCGGTGGGTCACCTTTGAACATCGTTACCAGACAGTGTTAGAGTCAAGCTGGGAAATCCAGCACTGTCCGGTAAGATGTTCACAGGGGCCCGGGAGGGACATGGGATCCCTCGAGGCAGGCAGGGGCCGCTGTGGAAGTCCAGGGAAGACCCGGAGAGGTGAGCAGCCAGGAGTGGCGCCGGGACCGGACAGGGCTGGCAGAAAGGGGCTTGGCGGCCCTAAGACTGCAGACAGGGCCACCCTCCCTGCTTCCTCCAGGGCAAGGGGACCCTGAGGCCGCAGACCCGGGGCCATGGGGGGGCTGGTCTGCTCTGTGGCTGGCCCACCCTGTCCGGCGGGAGGCAAGATGGCTGCAGCCAGGCTGGGTGGACTCTCAAGCTGGGTGGGGCGGCTTCCTCTGGGTTCCACGTGGCTCCCAGCTGGGCCTTGCCCTCCTGAGCCCTTTGTTGGGTCCTGCTCGGCCCACACCTGCTGGGTGTGGCAGCAGCACCTGCCCGGGCACCTGAGCGTCCTAATCCCCAGATCACCGTGTAGCACCCTGGGTGCAGCTGCAGGGAGCACTGCATTCCGGGGTCTCTGAGAGGCTGGTGGGGGCGCCCCAGCCCCTTTCCCAAGGTCACGACCTCCCATCACTCTCCCCAGAGCCTTCTGGCCCGGATGGGGTGGGGTCGGGTGAGCAGGCTGTGGGAGGGGGGAGCGTGGGGCTCGGTGGGAGGCCCTGGGCCCAGGACGGGGTCGGCCAGTCGCTGCGTGCAGGGCCCCGCCGTCATCATTACCAGGCAGTATTAGAGACCTGACTCCATCCAATGCTGCCCAGTAAGATGGCCACGGCTGCCCGAGCTGGGTCTGGGGCCACCCGGCTGGGGGTTGCATGGGACTCGCTGGGGGCCTCAGAGTTGGGGGGCCTCGTCCTCCTGGGGCACTGAGGGCAGCATTGCCAGAGGGAAGGGGCTGAGGTGAGCCCCACCCACCAGCCCTGCCGAGTCCAGCAGCCACTGGCTTTGGGGCCTGGGGTAGGCACCTGGGGGGCCGAAGTGTCCTGGCCAGGCGGTCAAGGACCGGGTCAGAGTGGGGCCGACGTGGACCCTCTGCCCGCCCCGCTCGGCCTCTGCCCCCACCCATCTGCGGGGGACCTTCCCTCGGGGTAGTCCAATCGGAAGGCCTGGACAGCAGCCACAGCCCCCAGGGCCCCGCGTGCTGCCTGTCTGAGGTGGGGGACAAGGGCCTCTGTCTCCAGGATGGCATTCCGGGAGCCACTTCCCTGCCCAGCTCCTCCTCTTCTCAAAGACCTGGTGTCTGCCAGGCTCTCAGACAGAACGGTCCCTCCCACCTGGAGACCCCTCTCCCATGCTGCCCTGCTCACTGCACAGCGTCTGTGGGCGGGGGTGGGGGTGGGGGTGCGGGTGGGGACGGGGTGGGGGTGCGGGTGGGAGTGGGTGGGGTGGGGATGGGGTGCGGGTGGAGGCAGGGGTGGAGGTGGGGGTGCAGGGGTGGGGGTGTGGGGGCAGGGGCGGGGTGGGGGCGGGGCAGGCTCCTGGCTATGCCCAGCCGTCCCTGCGGTTTCTGTGTCTGCTGGTCTGGGGTCTGACACGGGCACAGAGGGAGACGGGCCACAAACAGACACGGGCAGCCGGCAGCCGAGCCTCAGACGCTGCGGGGGCTGGGCCGCCTCTGCAGGGGGCAGGAGGAAGTAGATGGCCCTGTGGCCCCTCCTTGCTCAGGGCCTGAGGCAGGTTCAGCCCCCAGGCCAGACCAAGGCTCCCTGCCCCCTGGACACACCATCCTTCCTGTCCTCCTTCCCGCCCCTTCTCTGCCCCCACTTGGGTGCTGACCGGGCCCACAGAGCTGGCCAGAGCCACTCTTCAAGATTTCTGGCACCTTCCACCCACAGAGGCTGTGGGGGCACAGGCCCCGTCTGCCCGACCACAACAAATGCTGCTTCCGCCCACCCCCACCTGCTGCCAGGTCCACCCGGTTCCCGTCTCCTCCTCCAAACGCCGCGTCTCCGAGGACCTGACCCAGCTTCCCTCACACCTGGACCCTCTCCAGAGACCCCACACCAGGCCTCCTGCCTGTCAGGCTCCAGGCACCGGCTTCCCCTTTCGATCACCTCACAGGCCTTCACCACCAATCCCATAAAATCCCATCAAATCAGTGCTTCTGGCCCGGCGCGATGGCTCAAGCCTGTAATCCCAGCACTTTGGGAGGCCGAGACGGGTGGATCACGAGGTCAGGAGATCGAGACCATCCTGGCTAACATGGTGAAACCCTGTCTCTACTAAAAAATACAAAAAACTAGCTGGGTGAGTTGGCGGCGGGCGCCTGTAGTCCCAGCTACTCGGGAGGCTGAGGCAGGAGAATGGCGTGAACCCGGGAGGCGGAGCTTGCAGTGAGCTGAGATCTGGCCACTGCACTCCAGCCCGGGCGACAGCGAGACTCTGTCTCAAAAAAAAAAAAAAAGAAAGAAAAATCAGTGCTTCAGGGACACAATTTCACCTATTTTCTGAGCTGAGGGAGACGAAGACTTCCCGTTCAGACAGAGTCGAATTTCAGCTCCATTCCTTGCTGCCAGGCCGCGTGGGGGGGGCCGCACCCGATGGATGGCTGGCCTCCCACTGCCAGGTTCAGGGCCCCGGGCCAGTGTCCCCAGGCTCTTGGCTACCCAGGGCCAGCCTTCTCAGTGACCCCACAGGGCCAGAGCTGGCCTGGCCCCCCCAGGCTTGTCAGCCACTGCATTCTCACCTGGGAGACTGAGGGGCACACGGCAGAGGCTCGGACCCAGGGACAGACCTGTGTGGCAGGCGGGTGGGCGAAGCCTCCTTCCTAAGTTCCAGGGCAGGATTCCCAGGTGCCTCCTGAGCCCAGAAGCTGTAAAGCCAGCGAGCAGCTAGCAAGAGAGGCCGGACCTGGCTCCCGGGCTGGGTGGGGAGATGGTCGCCCGGGCCAGCAGGCTCAACTGGGGGACCCAGGGCTTTGCAGGGCCCTGTGCCTGGCACAGGGGTGAGGGGCAAGGAGTGGAGCGGGCAGGCGGCCGAGTCTTACCGTGGCCACAGGTCAAGAAATGAAAAGTGAAAATGGACGGTCCCTGTTTTCCGAGAGCCCCACGCGGTGCTTTCTTGTCAACCGTCGCCGGGAAGTGGAGCCAGCGTCGTGCTGGTTGAGGTGTTGGGTTAATCATCACCGCGGGGCCAGACTCAGCTTGGGAAAATCGAGGAGTCAGTCAGGAGGCCCAGAGCCGCCCCACCAAGGGGTTCTCTGCGGAACACATGCCCCGTGCAGGCGCCCCTTGGCTCCCCTGGCCGCCCTGCCCGCCTGCCTGGCCGGGTCCCACCTGCACAGGCCGGGGTGGGGTGGGAGCGCCCGGTGAGGAATGCGATCCCAGCGTGAAAAACTAACTTGTTGGTTAACCTGCCCGACGGGCTTAATCAATGGTGAGGCCTCGGAGAACAAAGCCTGAAATCCAACCCGCCCCAACCGCGGAGCCGAGCCGGGAGCCAGAGGCTGCTGGGGGTGGGGTGCGGAGCTCAGCCTGGCCAGCACTCAGCTTCTTCCCTCCGCGTTGCTGGCGCTACACGTCTGCGAGGCAAAGCCGCCATTTCACCCACACGGCGGGCATGGATTTGCAGCCCTCTCAGGCTGGCTGTGAGCATGGCCCCCGCGTCCGGGCCACGTCTACCAGCCCCACAGAGAACAAACCAGGCTCCACAACCTCTGCCCGTCTCATCTTCCCCTAAATACGGTAAAAAATGTTCTGACAAACTCATTTCGCAAATAAATATTTGCAAATCACCAAAATGTCTGAAAATGAACCGCAGACTGCATCCGCGTTTTCACAAACGCAAACCTTAATTTTGCCAAATTCAACGTGCTGCCAACCACGTTTTTGAGCGTTTCATCTGGGTTACTAGAAAAACAGAACAAAACCTCCTCTTTCCCCAGACACTCAGCCTAAACGAGGCCTGAGACGCTCCCAGGGGGTTAATTAAAACAGCAGTTTTTCACGCCCTGAGAATTCTGTTCATCAAGGACAATGAACCTTCCCTCCCACCACCAGGATCAATCAGTTCCCAAACTTTAAGAAAGCCAATGATCCGGCCGCTAAACCGCGTTTAGGTGCCCCTGCGGCAAGTTCAAGGCTGGGCCCCGGTGGGTCAGACCTTGCTCCTGGCTATAGCCACCGTACTGTGCCGTTTCGCATTTAAGTAAAAACCCGTACAAGAGACGTTGCCCCCGCCCCAGTCACAGTGCGGGGCCTGGGAACCCGCTCCACCTTCTCTGGGCTGAGCCCCACCTGTACCAGACAAGCCATGGCCCCAGGCACCAACCTCACTGTCCCCAGGCTCGGCTGGCCTCTGAGCAGAGGTTGCGGAGACCAAGCCCTTCCCAACGCAGACTCCAGAGCCCAAGGGAGACGCCGGTATCCTCAAACCCGGCCAACCCTTCTCCGCACCCACCTCTGAGGGGACAGCTTCCCCTCTCCGCACAAAGTGCCTCAGGACGGCAGTGGTTGCTTCTGGAGAGAACTTTCTAGAAGGTCTGCTATCAGGTAGGCGGCAAGAACATGACCCCTCTCGGAGCCTGCCCTCTGCCCAGGCCCTGCCCCGGCACTGATGGCCTGAGGGCACCCCATGCCTGGAGCCCACACACTGTGCCCGTGCCTGGAAGATGCAGCCTGTGGGCCCAAGATGGCTCCGCACCCGAAACCCAGCCGTGTCCGCGCAGGGGCCCACCTTTTCCTGGGAGGGAAGGACCCGCTCCAGCCTGTGTCTGCAGTGACCGGAGCTCCCCTGGATGCTGGCCAGGCTGGCGACGGCCCATCTGTCACCTGCGCCCCTGCCCCGCGTTGGCCACGGAGGGGCTGGAGAGGCCTCCCCTGCAGGAAGTGGCCTCCCCCACCAACCCCGCGCCTCGGCCTCCCCGCTGGCCGCCTTCACCTGCCCCCCCACTCTTACCTGCCCCGACAGGTTCCACCGCTGCTCCCGCCCCAACCCTGCAGCCAGCGCCTCCCCTGTGCCAGGCCCGGGTGGGTGTGAACCGGCTTCGGAAGGAATGGGGGGGACCCAAGCCCCTGTCCGTCCGGGTCCACAGAACTGGGAGCTTGGCCTCAGCCAGGCTCAGGCCTCAGGGCGTCCGTTGGCGCGGGGCGTCCGTTGGCGCGGGGAGACCTGCCCGCTGCCCTGCAAAGGTGAGCTTCCTGCTTCTGCTCAGGCGAAGCCCTGGCACAGGAAAAGTCAGTTCAGACCTGCACAGCTGGGTAACTCGCCCGTCTCTGGGAGAGTTTCGAGGGCGATGGGACAATGGGAGGTGGTGGGGAGGTGGGGGCCTCGGGAGGGAAGAGCCGGCTCGGCCGGGCTCGCCTTACAAGGAGCGCTGCTCCCCGCCCCACACAGGTGCGAGCTCCTGCTGGCCAATCTCTGCTCCTGGCCCCCAACAGGTGTGTCCCCTGGGCTCCCATAGGCCGGGCGGGAGGCGGGCTGGTGACGCTGACGCAGGCCCAGGCCCCGCACACGCGTCCTGCCCCCACCTTGCTGCCCACTGAGGTTGAACAAAAGTCAGGATGGGAAGGCTTCTGTGGGGCCTGCGTGGAGCGTGGGCGACAGGGCAGGGAGAGGGGAGGCCGCGGGCAACTCACCACTCCACCCCCGCCTCCCCGCCCCCAGCTCCGCAGGGCTCCTTCCCAGGCTGCCTTAGAAGCGGGTGGGGTGGCCCCACGGTGGGTCCAACCTGCCTGCCACCTCCCTGCAGTGCTGGTGCCCTGTCCCGTGGGGCCAAGGCCTCTCATGGACAGAGGGCAGGGGCCAGACCTGCGGTCTTCGCTCCAGGCTCCCAGCCAGCCCCTAATTTTGGAGCAATGAGGGACCCGCAGGCCTATGTGGGTCTCAAGATCCGTCTCCTCGCCAGGAGCTCGGAGGAGCTACGCACTCCCAGTCCCACCCCAATGGGCAGGAGGCTCCGAGACCCCACAGACCCACAGCTGGGTGAATGAGGGAGGGGTGTGGGTGCCTTCCTGAGCCTTCAGGGAGAGCTGAAGCCCCAGTAGCCCCCGGAACACCCCTCTTTGGGCTCTGGAGGTCACTTTGGAGCCCCTGGACTGGGGTACAAGTTTTCTTCTGGGAGCTTGGAAGGCCTGGGGGACCAGGGGTCTGGGGGTGGGGAGGGCAGGGCCCCCGCCCCGTCCGGGAAGCGCCCCACCCTTGGCAACGTGTTTGCTTCTCGTGGTTCCCAGCGGAAGGGCCCATAGTGAAATGACAAACGGTCCGTAATTAGCCCGACCGGCAGAGAGGTCCCGGCGGACACCACGATTTTCCATAACAAGCTCTGGGAGCTCCGCTGGGAGCCTCGTCACCGAGGGCCTGTGCCAGGCGCTCCTGGCACTGTTCTCACTCTGCCCCAGGGGTTGGGGCTTGGGGAAGCTCGGGCGACTGCCCTGTGCCTGGTCTTTAGAAACGGGCGGGGCCAGGGGCTGGGACGGCCGGAGGCTCACTGGCGCTGGCCTCTGGCCCTGGCGTGGGGTCTGAGCCACTCCTGGGCAGGGCTTCTGGAAGCTGGCTCCGGGGGCACCGGTGACCTCTGACCCACTGCCCTCACCCCAACAGGCCCTTCCCCGGACAGTCAGGGCCCGGCCCGCTCTGATGCCCACGCAGGTGTCTGTGTGGGACAGGTGGGGGTGGGGTCAGCACACACCTGGCTGGGGGGCTCTTGTCTTCTGGGGAGACTGAGGCACTGCCCACACACCTCCAAATCCAGAGTCTGCGGTTGGCATCCGAGTGGGAGAAGGCCGGACCCCCGTCTCGGGCTCACACCCCAGCTGCCCACATGCCGCCTCACTCACTGGTCCTAGACGTGGCCCTTGGCCCCCTGCGCGGCGGGACCTGCCTGGGAGCTGGCGAGTGTCGGGACAGGTGTGGTCAGATTTCATGGAGCGACGGGGCGGCTGGTGAGCCACTGGAAGCCGTGGGGACCAGGCAGAGTCGAGCTCCGCTGGGGCTGTGTCCACAGGCTGCATCGTTCCCACGGCTGTGGCTGTCCGGGAACGGACGAGAGGTGGGCGGAAGAGTGACAGCCCCTGGGACGGGACGGGACGGGACGGGACGTCTGGGCAAAGCTCCGGGGAGGGAGGGCCGAGGGCAGAGCTTCAGGTGAGGCTGCTCTTTTCTCCAAGGGCCACAGAAAATCGTGGAGGGCAGGGAAGGGCCCTGGGCAGGGCCGCTTAGGACGTGGACGTGGGTCCCTAGGTGCTGGCCGAGGCTCTGAGCAGCAGGG